TGCTGACCCCCCCGAACCCCCATACTCACCGAACCCCCTTGTGGGCTGAAGCAGCCTCTCCTTGCTATCTGATGATGCTGGCCCTGCCCAGGGCCCCTTTAATGAGCTCCCTGTGTCCCACCATCCCTCAGGGTCTTCAGATCACAGTGGGGTCCCCAGATGGCCAGTGGGGTGGGGCAGGATTGAATATCAAAATCTGGGCAAAGCTTTGCTATTACATATCATCAAAAATCTGGAGACAGGGCTTCCCTGGTGGCGCAGTGGTTGAGAGTCCGCCTGCTGATGCAGGGGACACGGGTTCGTGCCCCGGTCCGGGAAGATCCCACATGCCGCGGAGCGGCTGGGCCCGTGAGCCATGGCCGCTGAGCCTGCGCGTCCGGAGCCTGTGCTCTGCAGCGGGAGGGGCCGCAACGGTGAGAGGCCCGCGTACCGCAAAAAAAAAGGAAAAAAAAAAAAAAAATCTGGAGACAATCTGTGAATGGACCGACTGAGCTGAACTTAATACGTACATACCAAGCAGCAGTTCTGGATTCAGGGTGTCAGGCTGATCAGCTGGGGTGGCTGTCATTGTCTCCAGGGTTAACTTATTGGTTGGCAAGTACGCTGAAGCCTGACTCAGCGGTGGCCCACGCTCGCTGAGGCAGGGATAAGAGAAATGCCGAGATGTAACGTAGAGACAGACTTGTATGAATTAACCACGGGTGACCTGCTGCTCCTAAGCGCGTTCCAAAATACCATCGTGCCTTCCTTCACTGAGAGGGTAAGACCCGTGATGCTGAGGCAGCCCAACAGCCTTCAATGGTCTCCACGTCCAGGTGGGGGTCCTACCAGTGATCCGACTCCTTATTTCCGGGGGTGGTGGTGGGGGGGATAGAGCCCTTCGGAGGGCAGAGGCCACGGCAGCAGTGACTGGCAGGGGTGAGGCGGGTGCATTACCATCACAGCAGGAGCGGGTGGTCATCCCAGTGGTCTGATCAGCGAGGAAGGGTGGGGCTAATGGATTCCAAAGTCCCCGGGGTAAAAATGGATCAGCAACCCACAAGGACCTAAGGCTTTTATAACCAGGTCTGACTTGACAGGAGACAATGTGTGGTCCCTCCCCCATCCCAAACCTGAGTCCCTTCGCAGACCCAGAGCTCCCTGGGTGAGGAAAGGACCCGACGCTACATTCCAAGTCTGTTCCCATCAATCTCCCTGCAACATTCCCCCCAAGGGGACCATGGCCATTTGTGGAAGAACTATGCCCTGGGGAGCAGTGTGGGGGGTGGTGGGGGGGAGGTCTGAACCTCGCTGAGTCTTTGTTTCCTCATCTATAACGGAGGACAATGATATCTGCCTGAAAGGATTGTGGGGTTAATTGAGTAGAATAATGGGGCAGTGCCTGGAATATAAATGCACGCGCTGGCTGCAGCTGAACCTTTTATCCCTGTGTGATTTCGTGCTCATTCTTTCTTTGTTTCCATCTCTACTCCACTGTAGTGGAGTATGATCAGCCATTTGCTGAGAGTTAATAACACCCCCGCCATTGGCAGAGGTGAGGCACGTGCCAGGAGCAGTGCTCGGCTCTAGTGTCTCTAACCTATGCAGCTGCTCTCTGAGGCCATGCAGTGGGGTTGGCGCTGCTGGGATGGGGCTATAGCTGTGTTCTGTTCTAAACCTCTGTTCTCTTCACTGGCACCACACTCCTCGGAAGGCAATAAAATGAGGTGGCAAGTACGGAGCTTGGGACATGGTAAAGTGAGAAATAGGAGAGGAAGGAGGGAGATGCGTGGATGGCAGAGTAGATGGATGGATGGGTGGGTGGATGGATGAATGGATGGACAGATGGATGGATGGGTAGATGGATGGGTGTGTGGATGGGAGAATGGATGGACAGATAGATGGGTGAATGGATGGATGAGTGAATGGACGGATGGGTGAAGGATAGGTAGATGGATGGAAGGGTAGGTGGGCGGATAGATAGATGGATAGATGGATGGAGAGATGTAGATATGGAGAGAGATGATGGCTGGATAGTTTAGAAGATGGATTCGACATGACCCCAGCTCTCAAGGATCTTCCAATCAAGGAAGATGCAGCACTAAGCATGGAGCTGGCTGAGAAGTTGAAATATCTCATCTGTAGTCAGTGCAATTTCCCAGCCACACCACAGCATGTGCGATGAAGATTAGCCAGGCAAGCTGAGACGTGGGGCAGACACACTTGATTGCTCCAGTAACAGACCTTCATGTTCATTCATTCAACAGGCATTTACTGAGCACCTACTCTGTACCAGGCACTCTTCTAGGCTCTGAGGACAGAGAGGTGAACAAAATAACTCCCTGGGGGGAGGGAGGAGACAGGAAAGATGTACAGTTGACCCTTGAACAATGCAGGTTTGAACAGTGTGGGTCCACTTATACACAGATAGTTTTCAATAGCAAATACTACAGTAGTACGTAGTTTTGAATCCATGGATAAGGAGGAACCGTGGATGAAAGGCAGATAGGGAGGGCTGACTATAAATTACATATGGATTAACCGCCGTGTTGTTCAGGGGTCAACTATACCTGCAGAGTGAGCCCAAAGAGGATAAGTCCTATGGAGATAAATAAAGCGGGTAAGAAAGGGGGGCTATGGGACAGCGGTCTGCTCTTCTGGAAAGGTCAGAGAGGGCAAGCCTCACTGGTGGGTTGACCCTTGCACGAAGGCCTGAAGGAAAGGCTGAGATCTGGAAGGAGCAGTGACTTTCCTAGGATCACACGGTAACTACATGCCTGAATCAGGACTATACCCCAGGTTACATACAGGTGTTAGGATTCTGAGGTTCCTGGTCTGAAGCTACAAAACAGTGGTAACACACCAGACGTGGTGTCAGCAGAGGAGGATGGGGTTGGGATCCAGCCACTCAGGAGCTATGTGGTCCTCGGCAGGTCACTTCCTCTCTCTAAGCCTGTTGGCCATCCCTTTGCCCTTCCTTTTCTCCTCCGTTCCTGAAAACAATCCTGAGAGTATTAAGAGGTTATAGATATTTTACTTTATAAGTGAAAGAGGCCATCATTTTGTTATTTTATGGAGGGAGCCGACACTAAGCCTCCAAAGGGGGCTACAGTTCTGCTCTAGTTGAGAGAGGAGGATTGCCGGCTGGGACAGAGAAGGCTCCTGGGCCGGGCGGAGGGCAGGGGGGAATGAGACCTGACATCTGAGTGGGCCTCGAATAAAGGAGAGTTCATAATATGATGCTGAGCACCCAAGGACTGTGGAAGACAAATGGACCAGCGTGGGGGCCACATCGGCTCTTTCCCAGAGTGAATGGGTCTCTCTATTAGGATTGGGTTTGGTTACAAAGGACAGAAAACCCCAAATAAGAGTAGCTCAAATACAGACATTTCCTCCTTTCTTATGTAAAAACTCCTGAGCTAGGCAGTCAGGTGTCAGGGACCCCCGGCCCTTTCCACTGTGCTCCACCAACCTCAGCATTTGGCCTTCACCTCAATGCTCAAAATGGCTGCTTAAGTGCCAGACATCATGCCTGTATTACAGCCAACAGGGCAGAAAAAGGGATGAAGAAGGGAATGCCTTGTTCCCAGCAGAAGGGATTCTGGAAGAATGCCATTTTAGCTTGGCGGTTCTAAAACCCAGAGAGGGCCCACCAGGACCCCGGAGGCCTACAGGCTGGACACTGCTGCTGCCTGGTTTGGCACCTGCCTGGGATGGTGTCTGGGAAAGGGAGAGATGCAGGCAGCTCTGCCTGTTTCACCCAGGAAGTTCCTGCAGCCATCCATGGAACAGCACAGCTGTTTGCAGATGTCAAGATGCCACAGGCACTGGCTCCCCAGCTACCCTCTAAATCCCATCCCCTCCTCCCCCCAGCCTGAGCCTTCTCTAGTGCCCTGGAACCCAGAACCCTGGGGGTTTGGGGAATGGGGAGGGTCCTAGAGACAGGTCGGGCAGGAGGGGGTAGGAGTTTTCAGGTAAATCCCTCTGATCGGCACTGCCCACCACCACCACCTCAAGCATAGGGCTATGAATCCCAGGATGAATTTACACCAAATTGCTATAAAAGCCCCTGGTAGAGACAGACACATGGTAGGGGATCAAGGCGAGTGAATGAATGAATGAGTCAGTCAATCTATCAATCAACCAATCAATCAATCACGGGGAGCCCAAATGTTATTCAGTTTAACCTCAGCCAACTTGTCACCCAGCTGCCACTTACATACTTCCAGTGACAGGGAGCTCACTACTTCCAGGGGCAAAATGGTTTTAGTTTTAGATAGTCCGTATGATGAGTCAGATTCTCCACCTCCTAGGTTTCCCCGTCAGCGCTAGTCTGCCAGCAGGTAAGACCCAGAATACATCTGGCATCTTTTTCATGGAATCAGACCCAAGTCTTCGTGGATGAGGGGAAGCACAGAACCACACAGCTGGACCTTGGAGGCCACAGGTCTCCTGGCCATCTTCTTCTGTTTCAGATGGTATTCCGACCAGAGAGGGGCTATGACTTGCCCAAGGCCACACAGCTGGCTAAGGGCTGAGCCAAGATCAGACCCCAGCCCCAACTTTCAGCTGTGTTCCTTCTAAACCCCACAGCCCCTCCAGGACCTCCTCCAGCCTTCCCCACGCTAGGTAACCCCTCCCCACAGCCAGTCCCACCCCACGATGCTGAGGATCCATCTCCCTTGTGGAGACCCTCAGGCTGGAGAAACCCATCCCTCGTCACTGCCCGTGACAAGCACAGGGACGTGGGGTCCAGGTGTCAGGAGCTGCAAGCGGGACCAAGCCATACAGAGTGCAATGTCTGGCTCTCACCGGCTCCCAGACAGAGCCTCTCTCAGAGCAGCGGGCCGGCGTGTGCGCATGCATGTGTGAACGTGTGTGCGCGCGCGCACGCGCGCATGAGTTTGCGCCTGAGTCTCCCAGCGCGAGAGGAACCCGTTGTAAGCTGTCGGCAAATCCTGCCAATGCGCAAAGGGTAATTGTCACACGCAGTGCCAACAGACAGAGCTCCAGCGGATCCATTTGGTTTTGTTTTGTGGTTATTTTTTTTTACAACTTTAAATACGGAATATAAATAAATTTTACATTTAAAAAATAAAAGGAAAGCCCCCAAAAATATAATCACCGACTTTACAAACTGAAGGAAGCAGATTTGGGAGATGGGGGGAGGGGGGAAAGTGCAGTAGAAGGTGGAAAGGGAGGTGGGAGCTCAGACCCCACCCCTAGGGGGCCCTGGGGATCTTTTCCCTTTTCTCCCCCACTCCCAGCCCAATAGCTGGTTTCCTGGGAGGAGCCACCAGAGATGGAACTCAAAAAGATCTAAGAAGAGGGGCGTGTGCAGGGGCGGAGCAAGGGCTACTACCCCCTACCCTTGGAGACTTTCTCTTGGGTTTTTCACACCCGCCTAAAGGGGAGACTGCTTGAGCTGAGAACTTGGGGAAATGGAGGCCACAGGGACAAGTGTTGCTCCCCTGTCCCCCACCAAGGGCTCAGTCCTGTCTGACCGCTCCAAGTTGCGGGCTGGGTCAGAGGCACAGCCAGTCCACACAGAGCCTTTGTGTCAATTAGGAAAAGGATCCCTTTCCTCAAGACACTTTACCTCCATCTGCCAAAAAATTGTCATAATAAATATACAAATTGGCCATGTCTACGGTTGTGTGTGACCTGTGCTCCCTGCATGCAGTGCCCTTGTGCAGTGCACACCCTGTACAACCTTACATGGCAGTCTTGGCTGGGCTGGGATATGACAGGCAGGCCCCCTGCCGCCCTGGGCCCTGGTCTTCTGTCCTACAGAGCAGTGACTGGAGTTATCTGCAGCCTCAATAAGGGGTCCAAGAGCCCCTTGGTGGAGCAGACTGAAGGGTCAGGACAGGAGGAGACACAGGGTGGAGGTAGAGAGATGAAACAGAGGAAAAAGTGAACAGGGGGAGTGGAAGGAGGCACTGCATGCCCAGGTCACCATCTCCATCCACCTCCGGAGCAAACTTCATCTCTAACCCGTCTGAGAGGGCACTCGGCTGCCTGGTGCTCTGGCCACCCCTGCCTGGAAGAGTCCGCATCTTCAAAGAATTCAAACGTATAAAATGAAAAGAAGCCACTGTGAGCAGAGGTAACCAAGGGGAGATGACCGGGCCTGGGCATTGCAGGAGGGGGTTTTCTCCAGTCTATGCTCCCCAACATGGTCTCAGCCACAGGAGTACGAGTACCCTGGCCTGCCTGGGGGTGCTCCCGTCAGAGCTGGCTGCGGGTCCAGGGACCAGGCAGGCCATGCTGAGAGGTCCTCAGGCCCACGTGCAGGGTTTCAGGCCAGTCCACAGCACTGGAGAAGGAAGCTCCTTTCCCCCAACAGCGACCCCATCAGTCTCTCTTGCACTTTCATCCCATTTTCTCCAGGTCAGGAGAGGAAGACAGCGATGGAGTCCAGGTCCTTCATCTCCTTCTTGAGCTTCTGGGCAAGATGCTGGAGGCCACTGAGGGGAGACCCACTGGTGGAAGTGTGGACGGACACGTGGAGGGGTGGGGGAAGCACCATTGGCCGTCCGAATCAGGCATCGAGACAGACGGACGAGGGGAACAATATTATCACTCCAAGGACCCCATGGGGGCAATACAGCAAATACCATATTAAATAACCCTGTAGGCCAAGCAGAGGAACACGGGGATCAGAAACAGCCTAGGGCTCCATCCCACTCTTACAGGCAACCGGGGGCAGGGAGCTGGGGTCAACCAGCTGCCCCTGATTTCCAGCAGGGCTCAGGGCTGGAAGATTTGAGGTTTAGACCTCCATCCTCTTAGGGCCTCCTGAGACACAGCTGGGCAGCGGTCCCTAAAGCCCCTCACCCAACCTGTGCCGTGGAAAAACTCCACTGATAACTGGAAGAGGAGATCAAGGCTTAGAGCCTGGATTTTGTACGGGAAAATGCCTCTCCCCCCCACCCCTTCCTCAGCCAAAGCCACAGACCAGGGAGAAGGAACACAGGGTGCTGGGCCTCAGTTTCCCCGCCGGGCCCTCACCTGCCCGCACTCTCCTGCAGATGCCCCTAGGCTCCGAGGGTCTCCTTCAGCGCCTTCTTGCCGTGCATGTGCTTGAACTTCCGGTGCTTCCCCTTGGGGGGCCGGCGGACTCGCACCGTCCGAATGGTCACCCGAGTTTGGGGCGTCCTGGCTGCTTGAGAGAAAGAAAGGTCTGGTTAGCAGGTGGATGAACAATGGCGGGGATTTGGGGGTGTCTATCCCCTTGACTAAGGCCTGCCACAGACCTCCCCATATCCTCTGGGCTAAGAGAAGGGGTGGGAGGGGAGTCTGGATTTGAAGCCAGCCAGACCTCCTGGGTTCAAGTCCCAACTCCACCGCTCACCAGCTGTACCTTAGGGACAATTACTGAACCATTCTGTGCCTCTGCTTCCCCATCTGTGAAATGGGGATAACAAACTGCCCACCTCATAGGACTAGTGGAAGGAATAACTGACAATATGCTGGCAAACACAGAGGGGAGCAGATGAACTCTGGCCTCAAGCTCTTTGTCATTACCCCACTGATATGCCCCTGATTTCCACGCCCCTTGTACCTGGACTGGACTTGGATCTGTTAACCAATTTAATGAGGCAGACGGGTGCTGGTCAGTTCCAGGCATGAGCCTTAAGAAGGCCTGGCAGCTCCCACCTTTGCACTTTGGGGAACCCTGTGCTGTCACATAAGAAGTCTGGTTCGCCTGCTGGGGTTGCCACATGTGGGAGCCACATGGGGAGGAGAGGCCCTGGACTACAGGGAGAGGGATAGAGGCCCAGCTCTCCTAGTACAGCCTCCAGATAACTGACTGCAACTGCAAGAGATGCCACCAGGACCACCCAGCTGAGCACAGCCAACCCACAGACGGAGAGAGCGTAGAAAATGACTATTGTCTTAAGCCACTAAGTTTAGAGAAGTGATCAGTAAACAGCAGCTGCTCTTATTCACTTGTTTCTTTTTTCCTTCCTTTGACCCCCTACTGAGGTTTCCTCCCACCAACCTCAGCCTCTTCCGGTCATGGGATGCGGGAGTCACTAGGCTTCGGGCATAACCACACCCCTCCCCCACTGACCTGGGCCTTTCCCTCCGTTGTACCTGTCACCTGCCTGGCCCTAGCCACTCCGAGAGGCAGTACAGTTGGGTGGGCCAGACCACCTGGGTCCAAACTGGGCTCTCCCAAGTGTTAGCTGTATGCTTTGGGGAAAGTCACATACACTCTCTGTGCCTCAATTCCCACATCTTTAAAACTGAGAACAGCAGCCCTGGCCCCCTAGGTTTAGGAGATAATACATGGAAATCGCCAGAAACCCTTAGCTAGCATGCCCCTGTCAACGTTCTAAGCTTATCTATCCTCACAGCAGGTATAGGTTTGTACAGTTAACAGATGAGGAAACTGAGACAGAAAGTCTGGGATTTGAATGCAGGGATCTGCCTCTGGAATCCATGCTTTCAACACTGGGCTGTAAATCACAGTGCCTGCCAGTCTTGGTTAAGATGAGCACTTATGTCTCTCTTCCTCCTGGGCTCCTAGGTAGACACCCTAGCAATGAAAGTTTTCTCTGCCAGGCTCAAGGCCTGGCTCTTCCTGGGAGCCTCCAGAGTTCTCCCCAGCCCACCCAGCTACTTTGGGGCCAACACCTGACTTCCCACCTCACAGGCACAGGCTCCCATGAGGCAGTTACCCCACTGCTGCAAGTAGGAAATTTAGGAACTCACTGGGGTCTCAGGTCCTCACTTGAGGGAGGCTGCCCAAGAGGGCCATTGAAGGGCCAGAGACAGGGCCACCAGCAGGACGCTGGGCTGGGAAAAGCCTGAGCAAAAGCTCAAGGTCATCACTCAGCTCATAAGTGACAGGACAGAGATTTGAGCCCAGGAGGTCTGACACTGACTATCACACGTGCCACACCCCCAGCTGCCACAGGAACTGTCACCCAGGGCCAAAATGCTGAAACTAAAATGACAAGACCTACATGTCAAGTGGTTGAACATGCCTCCTAAGAAACTGGTTCAGAAAATCACATGAGACAAAGGCAGTGAAAAGAACCCCATTCTAAACATAAAGAAGAATATAATTTTTCCTGAACGGCAGTCATTCTCCATATTAACTCTACAAATAATTTACAACATGTCGGTTTGAAGCTGTCAAATTCTCAGCCTTCCTAGGTCATCCATGACTCAGCTCAGCTCTTAGAACAGGAGGAAGAGGCTGAGATGGCCCTGTCTTCAGGAGGCTTGTTAGTAAGAAATGACAGTGAGATTGTCCTGTCCCCTAACCAAAGAAAGTTATTGAAAATCCAAACAGTCACTTGCATGATTTTTTTATGCTCATCTAATCCTATTAGCTTAATGAGTCTCACTTGATCCTTACTTTTCTCCTCGAGGGAGAAAAGGCAGCAAGATACAGTCAAAAGAACCCAAAACTAGGGCTTCCCTGGTGGCGCAGTGGTTGAGAGTCCGCCTGCTGATGCAGGGGACACGGGTTTGTGCCCCGGTCCGGGAAGATCCCACATGACGCGGAGCGGCTGGGCCCGTGAGCCATGGCCGTTGAGCCTGCGCGTCCGGAGCCTGTGCTCCGCAACGAGAGAGGCCACAACAGTGAGAGGCCCGCGTCCCGAAAAAAATAAAGGAACCCAAAACTAGATGTTCCAAGACCTGGGTTCCAGGCTCAACTTTGCCGCTGTGCTACCTTCATGAAGTCCCTTAACCTCTCTGTGCTCCAGCAGCCCCATTAGTAACACTGAAGGACTGACTTGTAAGACCATCTCTAGCTCTAAAATTTTTAAATCCTTAAAAAAAAAAAAAACAAAGATGAGGCAAGTTAAGAGCCAGTGACAGCTGTCAGGGTGAGGGAAGAGCCAAGAACAGAACTTCAGGATACCTGAATTCTAGCTATGCCCCTACCTGGAACTGGCTGTGTGACCTTGGGCAAGACCTCAGCTTATCTGGGCCTCAGGCACCTCCTCCATAAAATGTAGAGGAGGCAATTGGGCCATTTTTTTAGTCCCTTTCAACTCTTGAAGTCAAACTTGGCCCTGAAATTGTGAATTCGTGAAATTTAAGGACAGGAACAGAATTCCAGTTCTAACTTATCCGTGCGTTTGAACCCTATCTGTCACATCCCTGCTACATTGTTGCCCAGCCTTTACTTGCATACCTCCCGGAACACAGAACTCACCACCTCACAAGGCAGACAATTCCATCTTGGACTCCTGACTGATCACCAGCTTTATGCATATATGTAGTTAAAATCTCTCTCTGGTGATTTCTCCCCCCCCACTGGTCCTAATTCCCTCATCAAGGCTACAAGGAATTAGTCTGATTTCTCCTCCCCAGGACAAGTCGCCAAATATCTGGTTACGATATATGCCTTAGGGCGTTCTCTCATTCAGGCCATGGTTCCTCCCACCATTTCATGCACTCACAAAACAAAGTAGGGGGCTACGGTAGCAAGACTGGGATGGGGGCTGCTCTGGATGGGGCGGCCGGCAGACCTCTCGGAGGAGGTGACTTCTGACCTGAGACCCAAGTGAAGAGCAGGACCTAGGCTTGTGAAGAGCCAGGAGGAGTGAATTTCAGCCAGAGTGACGTGTACAAAGAAAGGCCCTGAGGCAGAGACTTATTTGGCCCCTCAAACAGGCCAACCTGGCTGGGGTGGCATAAGTGAGGGGGACTGGTTGGCGACAGGGCCAGAGGGCCAACAGGGGGCTACATCCTCACATAAGGCCTCCCAGGCAGGGGAGGAACCTGGATTGTCGTCAGTGACGTGGAAGGCTTCAGGCGAACTTAACCAGGGGCAGGCCAGACCCAGTTCCCCCAGCGTGCCCCCGGCACCTGCCATAGAAGAAGGGGGCTGAGCAACTAGAGGCAGACCCTGGACGGGCGGTTACCTCGCTGCTCCTGGGAACTCCCAGGACTTCGGGTCACGGTTCGTGCCACCACCGTCTCACACTTGCACGCCAGGTGGTCCTCCAAGGTCACCGTGGCCTTCTTAAAGGTTGGCTTCTTCCGTACAATCTCAATCTTTCTTACCTGGAAGACAAAACCACCAAAGTGCTTCCGTAAGACCGCACAGGCAGGGGCCGAGAGAGCTGCCTGCCCGCTCTGCCACCCAGCATCCCCTGCGGTGATCTTTCCTCGAAAGCCTGGACTGCAGCAGGGTAGACGCTTTGGCCCAAACAATGGCAGGACCTTGCCCTCTGCTCTTCTCGTAGCTTTTCCATCAAAACAAGCCCCCCTGACCTGGTCTCCGGCAGTCCCCCTCAGATCCCCCAGAGAGGGAGAAAGGCATTTCCCGGTTAAGCGTGGGGCCTGTGGTGTCCTCATTCCCTGAGCGCCAGCCAAGGTCAGGGGCTGCAGCAGAGGCGGGGAGATGGTTGTCTGGAAGGAAGTGGGGGGAGGCTTTATCCAGGAGGGAGGCGGGAAGGGGGAGGTCAGCTGTCAGGTGTCCATCGACAGAGCTGGCAGTGTTGGGGACAGGAGATACCATGACAGTGGGCACCGGGGTAGAAAGTGACATGGTAATCTTGGGCCCAAGGCCCAGGCCTGGGATGGAAGGCGGGCACGAGGCAAGGCCACGGCTGACCATAGGGGAGGGCAGTGTGATGAGGTAGGCAGGGCACTTGGCAAGAGTAGGTGGGAAGTACCAAGCTGGTCCTGAGTCCTGGAGAGGCGTGCCCACCGCCCAGCAGCAGCTCGGCCCAGCCTGAGCTGGTGTGGGGGCGAGGCTGCCCCCAGGGGTGCAGAAACCTTTCCACGTAAATCAGCAGACAGCTGAGACTTCTCTGGCCCTGCCCTGCCCCGTGTGAGACCAGGAGCTCCCCAGGACGTCCTCTACTCTAAAATTTCCCTTGAGTCAGAGTGTACACCCAATCTTTCCAGAAAGGGGACAGGATTCAGCATTCTGACTCTCTGCTAGGGGCTGCCCCAGCTCTTGCAGGGTCTGTTGCCTGGGGCGGGGGTGGGGGTCTCTCTGCCCTCCTTGCTAAAGACACAACCTGTCAAAGGGAGATGGGCAGGTGTTAAAGGTGCTGGGGCACCTAGCTGAGCCTCCCTCTGTTTGGACTGAAGAAAACTGAGAGCCCTGAATAGGGGAGATCTCTGAGGGAAGTTGAACGGCTGTCCAGAACGTTCTGAGCGTCCGATGTGTTTGTGGACCTGTCTGTTCCAGGGATGTCTGGGGATTTGATCCCTGTAAAGGAGGAGGCAGCATCCTTTCCATATGGCCCCACCCCGGGGGCCTGTCTGTGGCTCATGGTCACCGCAGCCTGGATGGCCTCAGCGGACCCATGGGCAGCCTTTGCACACCTGTCGGGAGGGAGCTTCTCGATATCAGCCCTCTCTGGACGGAGCCCCGGAGCCCGCCAGGAAGGCCTTTGGACGCCCCCCGAAGCCTGGTCAGCGAGTCCCGCGCCCCCTACCCTCGGGCTGGCTGAGGCCTGGGTACCTGAACGGGCCGCAGCTGCACCTGCGTGGGGCGGCACTGCACATTGCGGTTGTTGCAGCAGCCGGAGCAGCGCTGCACCTCCACGCAGGGCGGCCACACCAGGAAGTTGGCGTTGGTGCGGTCTATGAGGCGCCGCGAGATCTCGAACACCTCGGTGCGTGTCTTGCACTCGGCGATCACGGCTGGCTCAGCGACTGTCGGGGAACCTGGAGGGAACGGGGACCTCCATCAGGGTGGTGGGCCTGTCCAGAAGCCCCATCAACAGGAAAGCTCAGCGCGGAGCCCCTCTGGGACTGCTCGTCCTCAGAAACGCTGGCCTGTCCCATCTCCTTCAACCCCAGTGTGGAGGGTTACCAGCCACAGGACTTGGGCAGGCTGCTGACAGGCTTGAGGCCTCAGTTTCCACATGTGCAAAATGGGAATGATCAGGGACTTCCCTGGTGGCGCAGTGGTTAAGAATCCGCCTGCCAAGGCAGGGGACACGGGTTCGAGCCCTGGTCCGGGAAGATCCCACATGCCGCGGAGCAACTAAGCCCGTGAGCCACAACTACTGAGCCTGCACTCTAGAGCCCGTGAGCCACAACTACTGAGCCCGTGAGCCACAACTACTGAAGCCCGAGCGCCTAGAGCCCGCGCTCTGCCTCAAGAGAAGCCACAGCAATGAGAAGCCTGCGCACCGCAACGAAGACCCAATGCAGCCAAAGAAATAAATAAAAATGGGGATGATGAGATCTACACCCCAAAACCACTGTAAGGATCAAGTGAGATCGTTCCGAGAGCGCTGGCGTGGGGTACACGTCAGTTTCCTCCCGCCAGCCCTCAACCATTTTATTCAATGATTTCACACATTCATGAGTTTGCCTGGCATGTGGCCCTTACTTGTGTATTATCTTGTAGCCACTCTCACATTGCTGTTTACACTGTAATCTATTCTTACGTTTTTGCTTCTTTCAAGCCTCAGTCTCCTCATCTATGAAATGGGAAAATAACAGTTCCTATACTGTACTTGCCGATCAAAGGAGTAAGTGAAACTTGGCCTACAGCAGGCTTACAGTCAATGCTGGGGCGACTGTCCTCTGTCATTATTCACATGTAGAGGAACTGAGGCTCGGAGAGCTGAATTAGCTGCCCAAATTCACAAAGAGTGAAACTCAGGCCACCTGACTCTTATGTGGTGGGCCCCCCAGCCACGGTCTACAGAATTTTGGGGACTGCAGGTGGGCAGAGAGGAAGGGGGGCTTGGAGCAGGTACCCGCCTCCCTAAGAAAGCTTCGGTGGGACCCAGTGACCCGCACCCTCCTCTGCTTCACGCCTGCCGTCACAGGCATAGCACTTCACTGCAGAGGAGACGTGCAGCCTGCCAGCGGCACTGGATTCAAGCAAGAAGAGCCGCTTAGGATCCCAGCCCCACCACTTGCTAGCTGTGTGACCCCAGCTGCTTTTCTACCCTCTCTGGGCCCCAGTTTTCAACTCTATAAAATGGGGTTAATAATCTCTACCTCCAAGGTTGAACTAATGAACCAATGAGGTTTTAACGAACTATATTTAGAAAACAGTGTGAGTCGGTGGGGGGAGGATGATGACTTAGCTGCTCGGTAGAGGGTATTTAAGGATGGTTGTGCTCCTTCAGTTCCACTCGGTCCTAAGTGTCAGCACGAAGGAGCAGGCCCTCTGGCCTCGGGCTGGCTGCATCCCCAATTCTTCCCTGGCTCCCACCTTTGAGAGGCCACCGTTCTCACCCTCAGTCTTACCCAGGCTCCTTCTCCCGCGGGATAAGCTATCCAGCTCGCCTCCAGGATGGGACCGGGTCAAATTCAGGTCCAGTTCAGCCCTGTCTTCATCTGTAAGAGGAGGTCAGACACACACTGCAAACTGTTGGCTGGCTCGACCGCGGCTCTGGGGGCTCGGCTGTGGGTTCCAGGGCAGGCGGGAGGACTGCTTCCCTCCCCGTCCCTGCGCTGGCACACCACTCCAGAAAACGGTCTCCCCTTCTGGCTCCCTGTAAACCTGAGGGTCCTAGCTCTGACGAGGGGCCCCTCCAGACAAATGCCAGGGTGGCCATGGGGCCCAGAGGGTGGTGGGGCCCTGACTGCATCGCCAAGGGATCGTCAGCCCCACTCCGGGCCCTTCAACCACATATTTGGACAGAACCCATGTCAATGGAGTTAAAAATAACCCACCCCCTTTGCTACTGTAAGAGAACCCTCCTTGGCCTCCAGGGCAGGGTGAGGACCCAGAGCTCTGAAGGCCAGTTTCCAGTGCCCCTCCACCCAGCGTTCCCATAGGAAGTGCTGAATGGAGAAATTCCCAGAATCCCCAGGGGGGACCGGCATGCCCTGGACACAGCCCCTCTGGAGCCCCGGACAATGGCCCAGTTGGGCGGGGAAGAGGGAGGGAAGGAGAGGGATGGGGGTGGAGGCTGAAGGCAGAGACAGGGGGTGAATAGCCAGGCCTGGTGGGGCAGGGGGTGGGTGTCGGGAGAGCGCTTGCCCTGCCCCCTTTTTGGCCCTAGTCTCTCTCCAGCCCCCAGTCTTTCACCGTGTTTGTCCCTCTCCCCCTAACCTTTTGCCCCACTTCTGCCCTAAGTTGTCCATTTATTCCTAAAGTCACAAACCACAGCTCCCTTCTCTATCCTGGGTGGCCCTCATCTCAGCGTCATTGGCACTCCTTGGACGCATCCCTCTCTCTAGAGATGGCGGCCGGAGCAGCTGCGGGAAGTGAGGGTTGCAGAGACGTGGAGCTCCTCACCGAATTGTGGGCAGCCCCTTCTATCTCCTGACGGCTGCAGCGCCAGCAAATAAACTACGGGGGTTGAGAACAAGCCCTGCTCCCTCCATGCAGCACCTCACGCTCCTGCTGTCTCCCCAGCCCACCGGCCCACTGGCCCTGCCCAGGACAAAGCTCCAGCTCATCCGTGCAGGCTCCCAGTGGGTCCTGTTTGGAGGAGACTGTGCTATAACTGGTGCCTTTCCGTCTAGCCTACTGCTCCTGCGTCAGCACGTCTGTCTGTCCTTCTCACTCCCTTCCTTTCTCTCTGCCATCTCTGGAATGTCCCTGGTGGGGAGGAGATGGGGAAAAGATGTGCTTTGTGGAAAGGTTAAGTTGATTAGGAAAAAATAGCCACACGGTTGCCTTGAAACAGGCCTGCTATTGAAAACCTCATCTCGGAGCTCCCGACTCCCACCCGGGGTACACAGGGGCTGCCCGAGGGTGAGGGCCAAGGGCCTTGGGAAGAAACAGCAGAGAGGCTAAATTTGGAAGTTGCCCCATTGTGTTGACCAGGGCTGGCCAGTCGGGCATGGGGTGGGAGGTGTGGGAGACGTGGGGCGGGGGGCCTGGTGAACAATAGGTGGGCCCAGCTGGGGCCCCCTCCCGCCTGCCTCGCCAGCCCCCAGCACAGGCGGGTTTGAAAGGGCCCGGGAATGCTTTTGAGAGGGAGCCAGGGGCCCAACGGGGAGAGGAAACAAAGGCAGGAAATGCTGTCCCCCGTAGATAGCAGTCTGGGCAAGGATTACAAAGTGACAAAGAGACAAAACCCCAGAGGGAAGGGGAGCTGGGGGTGCAGGGGGGCTGCCGACCAGGGCTCCAGGGAACAGGCCAGAGGTTAGAATAGAATGGAATTTGCTCTGAAGGCAGCGTTTATAAATACATTCCCGACCCAGCCCCGCCACGTGTGTGCCGCCAAGCACGTGCCCATGCGCTGAGCGCGCTCTTGGGCAAGGGCAGGGCTGCCCACTAGTGTGGGCCAGGTGTCCCCCGGAGACCTTGGAGACTGGGCCCTCGGCCGGAGGGGCAGGGAGAGGGCCGCTCTGGTACCTCCCTCCCCGGCTGGGTCCACACCCGGATGCACATGCGGCAGATGCCCTGGATACCTTCTCCCTGGCCCCTCCTCTCGGCACCCCATCCTCTGCACCCCGCCAGAGCCACATGTGGGAGCTTCTCCCGCCACACCCCACATCCCAGGTAGCAACCCGTCCGCCTACCCAGGCCTGCCTGGGACAGGTGTGGCCAAGCCCTGCGTGGCTGCCACAGGCCTCTGGGTCTCTGGATGCCAAGGGAGCGGGGATGCCCTTGCCAGATGCCCTGCCCCCCTTGGCAGCGGGGATGCCCGCCCGGCTCCCCAGGACTCAGCGGAGGGCCAGAGCATGGGACGAGGGCTCCACTCACCTCCGGAGTCTCCGTGCAGCAGACGCTGGAGGTCATTGAAGGAACGAATGGAGTGGTCACTCAGCATCTCGTAGAGCTCCTCGGGAATGGGGTCCCCCTGCCAGGCAGACACAGGGGGGACAAGTGAGCTGGGAGCAAGGGCTTCCCAGCCGTGGCCCTCTTCCCCCCAACACACACACTCCCTCCTATGGCAAGTTCCATAGGGCCCCTTGGCCACGGACAAATGGACAGCCAGGCCGGGGGCAGGCAGGGGTCGGGGGGTGATTCCAGGCCTGACAACCAGGACCACAAAGGCCCGGGACCAGAACCTGCGGAAGCCTCTAAGATGCAGCTCAGTTCTGCGTCCCTCCCCCCCACACAGAACCTCAGCTTGCTTTAAGTTAGATTTGATTGTATGTATCTGTCCCCCCATCACACTACAGGTTCTGGAGGCTCCAACATCCTGATTTCTCTCTGCTTCCCCTCCACGCCTGACAGCTAAAGGCGGCCAGCATTTGTCATGGGAGATCGAAAAACCCCCATTTGACAGAGGTAAAAACAGAGGCTCAAATAGGCGACATCCTTTGTCGGAATCCTACAGCCGATTATCAGCAGAACCTGCTTTCAGATCCAGGTCTTTCTGAGGGCAGAGCCTGTACCCCCAGCCTCCTGGGTACACAAGGTGTTTAACAGATGCTTGAAGAACTGGATGGTCTCAGGAGGCCACATGTACTAGCGTTATCTATTCAGTCTCTCACTCAAAAGAGGAGGGAAGGGAATCCTCAGATACAGTGGGGAACCCTGAAAGCTCCCCAGTGCCCCGTGCCCAACCAAACCCTATTTTTAGAGCCCCTCTGGCCTGTTGCCAAAAACACTTGAAACTTAATAAGCACTTTAACAGGCCCCATTTGGAGACCGGGCTTCCTCCAGGGAAATCACAGGTCCTACAATAACATGAGAGCAGCCCTCATAGGAATGTCACGGCCCCGTCCGCCACGGTCCAGGGAGACCTGAGGGGCTGATGCCAAAGGTCTTGAAAAAGAGGCGAGGGCCTCTTTCTTGTGCCTCGGGGCAAAGAAAATGCGCAAGATCTGCTGCGTGTCCGAACTCACATCCATGCAGACACATGCACGTGCACACGTAAACACACAGGAGGGCTCCGCCTTGTGGGAGGAGCCCCTGGGGAGGGTTTCAGCAGACCTGACTTACTACTGCCTGACCTTGGGTTACACAAGTCTGTGCCTCAGTTTCCCTGGATTAAGAAGGGAGGCGCCCCTGCTCGAGCTGGTGCACTGAACACTCCAAAGACTGGAGTGCTGAGAGGCTTCCCACAGGCTGCCTCGAGGAAGGAACGCCGCCCTCGCCCTGCCTCGTGGCCAGTCCCCGGGGTGCTCCCCGAAAGGTCTGTTAGGAGCCTGGTGACTGACCAGGTTCTAGCACTTATCAACACCTCCTCCAGGGGTCCCACCACACGCGGGCCTGGCCGCTGGAGTCAGCCCTGGAGTCAGAGGCCAGGGTGGAGTGTGGCCATGTCCGCTCTTAAAGCAAATTCCCTGAGAGCTCTGAGCTGAGTTTCTTCATTCGCACGTGGAGCTTATAAGCCTGCCTGGTGCCTAGGGTGGTCGGGAGGTATGAGGGAGAGAAGGGCGGGGGTCTAGCAGTAAGCTTGGCTGGGAGCTGGGGGTCCATGACGGCACAGCCGGGAAACCAGGGGATGCGTGTGCGAGATGGGGAGGGATGTCAACTCAGCTGCCCCTCACTTTCCTCTCCCACCTCCACGTGGCCTGCCTCCTCCAACCCAGAGAGACCACGCCTTTGGTGGTCTCCAAATGTGGACACAGGACCCAACCCACGGAACGGAAAGCGGCTGGCTGGTCTCCAGTGGAGCCCAAGGCAGGCCACTGCCCCTGAGGGTTTTGTCTGCCCCAGATCTGGTAGTCCAAAGAGCAGGGTTTCACCTCTACCACTACTAACCTCCCCGTGAACTCAGGTTGGCCACCGCCCCTCTCTGATCCTGGCTCTCCGTTGCAAATAGAAGGGGTTGAAAATATTTGATTCAATTCTAATTCTGCCTGGGGGTCTCAGGAGGAGCAGCAGAGGAAAGCCCAGGGTGGGGTCCCCAGCCAGGTCTCCCAGGCTGCTTGCGGAGTAATGATTCAATTAACCCCCCAGGAGAGGGGCCCAAAGGCCCAGGACCAAATGGCACAGAGCACTCGTGCCAAGACCTCCTCGCCCCTGGAGAGCTGGCTGCCGCTGCTGCCGCCGGCCAAGGCAGAGTAGGCAGACTCCCAGACAGGCCTACCTAGCAGATGCCCCGGACCCAGCCTGTGATGCAAAGGAGATGCCATCTCATGGAAACAAACCCACAACCTCCCAGGCTGAGTGGGGAAGAGCCCAGGATACAGACGGGAGAGGTGGGAGAAGCACACAGTAGATGCTCGATAAATACTGGTAACATGCATGAAGGACTCTCCCCTTGTCTCTGGAGTTGTCTCCTGTATGATTCTCCCCCTCCTCCACCAGGAGGACCACCCCCGAGCACACTGCCTCCTAAAGGGTCCACTTTCTTCTAAGCAGATGCCATTCCTGCACGTGCTTTTCAGTAATTTGGCCACTGGATGCCCAGAACACCCTGAGAGCTCCTGGATTTGACACTAAAACCACAGCTAACTTCTGTGAAGTGCTAACTACAGGCCAGACACTGAGTTAAATGCTGTACCAACTACCAACCCCAAGAGCCTGGCACTTTTTGTGTTCCCATCTTCCAGATGAGGAAGCTGAGGCTTAGAAAAATTCAGTAAACAGCTACAGGTCTACACGACTCGTAAGTGGCAGAGTGGGCCCCTCCCTCCCAGTGCCATGGAGCTGCCTGGACATTAACCTCAGTTTCTGTCAGCTCCCCACCCTGCAGGGGTCACGAACAGCAGTTCTCAATCAGGGGCCGGTGGGCCCCCCGGGGACACTGGTCATGTCTGGAGGCATTTTTGGTGGTTATAAATAGAGGAATGCTACTGGCATCTAGTAGGTGGAGGCGATTGAGGCTGCTAACCATCCTTCTGTGCACAGGACAGCCTCACAATAAAGAATTCTCTGGTCCCAAACATCCACAGTGAAGAGATGGAAAAGCTCCGTAGAAGACAAAGCAAGGGCTTCAGCTGCCAGGGAAACCTGGGTTCTTGGAGTCAGGCTTTTAACAACCTAAAACCTCAGCTTCTTGTTTTTTTAAGTCCAACTTTTTATTGAAGTGTAACATACACACATTAAAGTACAGAGGTCATAAGTATACAGCTTAATGAATTTTCACAAAGTAAACACATACCTTGAGAAATAAACAGGCCATCCCAGCACCTGAGATGCTCTCCTTGCATCTCCTCTTAGTCACAACTCCTTTTAAGGGTGGCCAGTTTCTATTCCTGTTCCCAGTTTCTATTACTGTTAGGTTGGTCTGATTCTGAACTATGTTCTCTTTGGTCATGGGCTTCTTTGTTCAACATTATATTTGTGAGACTTATCCAGGTTGCTGTATTTAGTAGTGGTTCATTCATTTACATTCTATTAAATACGTATTCCCCAATTTATTTATACGTTTTACTCGATACATTTTTGGGTTGTCTCCATTTTGAGGCTATTATGAATAGGGCTGTTATTAAAATTCTTATATTTCTCTTTGGGTGCATATTAGTATTATTAAAATTAAATAATGGGCGACGGTTGCATAACTCTATGAATTCTGAATTGCCAATTTCTGCAAAGAAGCCAGTTGGGATTTTGATAGAAATTGAGTGGAATGTGTAGATCAATTTGAAGATTAATGCCATCCTAACAGTATTTACTATCCTAACCCATGAACATGGATGTCATTCTTTTTATTTAGATATTTTAAAATTTCTTTCAACAATGCTTTGTACTTTTCAACGTACAAATCTTATACTCCTTTTGTTAATTTTATTCCTAAGTATATTATTCTTATTGATGTTATTATAAATGGAATTGCTTTCTTTTTTTTTTTTTAACATCTCGATTGGAGTATAATAGCACAGGGAGATCAGCTCCGTGCTTTGTGACCACCTAGAGGAGTGGGATAGGGAGGGTGGGAGGGAGACGCAAGAGGGAGGGGATATGGGGATATATGTATACATATGGCTGATTCACTTTGTTATACAGCAGAAACTAACACAACCTCCGCTTCTTTATCTTTTAAATGGGGCTAATAATACCTCAGCGGCATTACTGGGAGGCGGAACCGCACCTAGCAGAGCAGCCCGCAAATGATGGGTAGTTAATGAGTCCTGCTGTGATCCCCATGCATTCCTTCAGTGTGGTTCCTTGAGGGCAGCAGCGAGCAGCACGCATGCGCGGGGCCTGCAGGGCAGGACATTTTTGAGGATGATGGTGGGTAGGTGGAGAGCATGTGGCTTTGCATTGTCCCCCGTGCCGGACCACAGGAAATGACACCGGAGCCCCACACTGGCACTTGCCTCGGGCCTTGTGGGCTGGTGGGTGGGTCCCTTCCGGGGCTGGGGGTGGCTGAGAGATGGGCAAATTCAGCCTGTGGTCAGCTCCAGGATGCAATGCCCTGGGAGAGGCTCACATGGGCACCTGCTGGGGGTCAGAGGTTACTCGAGGTGTGGGAGGGTGAGCAGCCCGGAGCCCGGGTTTCAGGGGCACAGGTTCTAGAAGCCTCCTTAAGGTGGGCAGCTCCCCCTCGGAGATAGGAAAGGCACCCTGATGAAGCTGCCCCAGATCTCAGGCCTGGGGTTCCTGGCAGGGCGAGGGCGTGGCAAGAAGGCAGCTGGGGCACAGCCAGCCGTGGGAGCCAAGGCAAACAGCCTCCTCCCCACCTCACCCCTAACGTCAGCTGCGCGAGGTAGGAAGGGCACAAGCTAGCTGAGGCCAGGTGAATTACCTGCTCCCAGCCGGGCTGGAGGATTAAAGGGGCTTGGACCCCACCCTCCGCCTGGGCCCCAGCTGTACACACAGATATACACTCCCCAGCCTGCCTGCTGTTCAGCTGAGGGAGACAACACGGGCTTGGCCCAAGCAAGCAGGGGCATTGTCCGTGGCTGGCAGAGGGAGAAGGCCTCAGAGCGCCCGCCTGCCTGGGAGTCTCAGGCCTGATTTAGAGTCAATGCCAAAGCCAAGCCCTTTGAAGAAGCCTTCTCTGGGCAGACCGCAGAAGCCATTTAGAACCAGCCTTTCCCACCTAGTATTTCCCTGCCGTATTGCTCCTGGGACCCTCCGCTATTACTGTTAGCCCAGCCCCCCATTGGGCTCCCGCGTCTCCCTCCAGCAGAAAAACTGTTAGACCAGGAAGAGAGAGGCCAGGGCAGCAATTACAACCCTGGCAGCACATCGCAATCGCTGACCCCAGCCACCCCTGGTCCCAACTCCCAGCACCGAGTGGGGCCCAGGAATCTGCATTTTCAAAAGGCCAGGTAATTCTGCTGCTCTTGGGGGACTCTGAGCTGATCCAACCTTCTCGGTTTTTTTTTTTTTTTTTTTTGTAGATGGTATAGACTGAGGCCCAGCTCAAGATACCCAGAAACTTTGCAATCAAATTTTCCTTCTGTTTCTTTCTCTCTGTCCAGTCTAATGTCCAAGTACCAAGACATGGAAAAGAAAGAAGTGCTTGTCTCTCAAGAAGGGGGTGGGGGGAGGGAGCGATGCAGGGGCACTCAAATGAAGATGCTTCTACTGGAGGGCAGCATGGCTACCGTTGGCTGCCCTGCGGGAGGACTGAATGAGGCCACGTTTACAAAGCACTTAGCAAGCCCTAGATACGCGTCTGGTCCTTCCCTCCCCGCCCCCGCAAGGATTCACTGTCCTTTCCACAAATATTTACAGATTATGCACCATGGGCCAGGCACCGTTCTAAGCAGGGGAGACAGTGGTGACCAGGACAAAAGCTCTCTAGGGGAGTTTATACTCTGGTGAGAAAAAACATATAATAAACAACTAAATAAATCAGAAAATGAAAATAGTTGTGCTAGAAGGGCATTTCAGTGGGGGCGGGGTGAGGGAAGACTCTGAAAGGGACTTTTGAGGCCGATGGCAAGCATCGCTTTACACTCCTGCTGAATCAATCTCTCTCTCACATACACACACACTGTTCCTAGGTCTTGCGCCAGAGCCTCCAAATTCTGTTTGATCCGAACCTGCAGCAAGTCAGTCTCCCACTACCTAAGGCCGTTAGCAAACCAGAAAGAAGCCGGGTGACTGAAGGTCTGCGGGCCCCTTCACTCCTTCTCGGCAGAAGGGTGCAGAGGCCAGAGACATCACATGACAGGGAGAGTCACCCTCCCGGAAGCCAGCTCAGCTGATGGAGATGGGACCTTATGGGCCTCCGCCGACCCTCAGCCAGGCCCCACCTCAGAGCTCCCCGTCCCTCCTTCCCAGCTGCTGAGGCCTCCACCTGAGGCTCAGTACAAGCATGCCAAGGACATGGCCAATCCCAAGGCGACCTCCACCAGCAAGCCCTCCTGGACTGGCTCCCATGTCAGTAGGTTTTCCCTTTAGGTCTCCTCCCTTAGAGACTCCTGAGGCTTACCCAGGCTCTGCAGGAAATTGCTTCGTAAACTGCAAAGCACTACACAACTGTGGCTTCCTGAAGGCCATGTTCAAGGATGCTGTGACTCACGTGAGGAGAAAGGCACCAGCTTCCGTGCCCTAGCCTCCCCACCAAACACTCATACCCCTGGGGCTCTGGAAAAGGAGGAGGAGTTGCTGGATGAAGCTGGAAATGGAAAGGGCAGGCCTGGGAAGGCCTTCTCCAGCTGTCACCCAGCCTCTCCAGAACGGGCTGGGATCCCCAAAGAGGATAGAACAGTCAGGGGTGGGAAACCCCCTCAGCCATTCAGGGTCATCCAGTCTTGGAGGTTCAAAGAAGGGCTTATTTGAAGGGAGAAAAACTCTGAACATCACAGCGCCCCCCATTATCGGCCACACGAGCATGGTTTTAAAAAGCGACCACAGAAGGATAATGCTTGAGGGGCTTCGAGCTGACCTGACCAGGCAAAAACCAGTGGGTGCTGTGGAGCCGGGACCTGACGGGAGGGTCCCTGCTTCCATTCCCTCGTAGTACCCAGGAAGGAAACGGGGTCGCTGCAGAGATAACTAGGTTCCAAGGCCCACGGTGGGCTCACCTGTTGCGCGGGGGTGGGCACCTGGTGCATGGGGGTATAGGGGCCGTGCATGCCTATGTGCGTGCGTAGGTGTGCGCGCACGTGTGCTCAGGCTGCGTGTTCAGGGGCCGTGCGTACGTGTGTATGCGGTGCGCGCGCGTGTGCCCCGCGTGTGCACGGGCGTGGCGGCGGCGGGCGCGCGACCCGGCCGCGGTAGTGCGTGCCCGTCGCTCTGCGCACCCGCCCGCCCGCCGGAGCGCAGCATCGCCTCCGGCCAAGAGTGTGCATGCGTGGGGTGAGTGAGCGAGTCGGGGGGCCGGGCGGGGTGGGCTGCGGAGAGCAGCGACGGGGGCGCCGCCGTTCCCAGGACGCCCTGGCACCGGGCCCAGCCCCCAGACCCCGCGGCGAGGCAAAGCGGCAGCTGGGGCCGGCCGGCGCCCCCCTTCGCAACAGCTGGACGCGGCCCGGGGGGCTGCGGGAGCGGAGAGGAGGGGGCGTCGGGAGGAGCCTGTAGGCTGCCGGGCTGAGCCCCGCGTCCTCCCTCCCGGGTGCTGGCCGCAGGGGGTGGCCGCGGAAGGGCGGGGCCCCAGGGCGGGCTGCCGGCGGCCCTCGAGGAGCCCCGAGAACAAAAGGAGACGGCGACGGCTCCTCCGTGGTCAAAACAACCTGCGCTGGCGGCGGCCCAAGGCCCGGCCGCGGCCTCGGAGCTCTTCACCTTAACCCCTTCGCCGCCGCCTCCTCCTTCCTAAGCCTCGTTGGAGGCCGAGAGGGGCCGGCCCTCCCGGGGAGCAGGCGAAGTGCGGGCTGCCGGCCGCGGCCGAGCAGAGGCGGGACGGGACCCGGACACGCCGCGCTCCCCGCTGCCCTCTTCTCCCCGGCACCTCGCGCCTCCTCGCTGCCCCGCCCCCTTTCCCACCTGGATTCCGGGTAGACTTGCCAACTCACTGCTACGTGAGGCTGGGAGGGGTGCGGGGGACTCAATACAATCTGATAGCTCCCGCAGACGTTTTTACACCCCAGCTCTGCTAGGCTTTTACAGGCGGCGCGCTCCGCACCCTGCGAGCGGGGGAGAGAGGTGCGTTCTTTCGCAGGGTGCGGGCGCAGGTATGGCGCGACCTCAGGCACACACCGCCCCGGGGGCTGAATTCCCTAAGACCCCCACTCCTCCCCTAATCCCAAGTGCCCCAAAACCTGTCTCGGCACCCACTGCGCCCAAGACACAGGCTGCTCCTGCACCGCACTCTGAGGCCGGGCAAGACCTGCACGGGCCCCGAGGGCACCCAGCCCGACCGGGAGCTGGAGCCAGGGTGGGACGGACACCCCCGCCGAAGACTGGAGTGGCTGCCACCACCGGTGCGCGAGCTCGCACCTCCCGTGCAAGCCGGGTCCGGGACAGGACCTAAGCTGTAGCCGGAGTGGGCTCGGGAGGACGCGCTGCCTGCTGCCTCGGCACCACCCCAGCCCTCTCCCTTGGGCTAGAAGGGGGCTTATTCTCGGGTTCCTGAGGGGTGGGAGACAGGACCACACACACCTTCCCCTGACGTCTAAAAGCTCGGAGATCTGAGATCACCCCTGGGAAAGAAAGGCACCGCTGCCCCCTCCTCTTAGAGCCTGGCACCTCCCGGACCTCGCGTCCCAGCCCTCGGAGGTCACCTAGCGCCCGGCGCCAGACCCAGGGGCTGCATGGGTCCAAAGTTCACTGCAGTGAAAGGAGGGGGCGATCAGGGGGTAGGGGTCGGGGGTAATGAATGAAGCGAAGCAGCCCCAGCCGCCGTCGCAACTCACCTCGGCGCTGACCAGACGCAGGTAGCAGCAGAGAGACAGGAAGAGCGCCCAGCAGCGATTCATGCCGACTCCGGGCCCGGCCCCGCGGGGCCCCGGACGCGTGGACCGAGCGCGCCGCCCCCGCGGCCAGGGTGGGGGGCGGGGGCTGGGGAGGGAGGTGGGCTCTGCTCGGGTCTGCGGCGATCAGGCGCTCAGGCCGCTGCAGCCGCCGCCGCGGCTCACCCGCATGGCCCCCGGGCGCCGCCGCCCCCAGGCCGGGCTCCGTCGTTGGGGGGTTGGGGAGGACCTGGGCGTCGGACCAGGGTCCGAGGCCGCTACCTGGGCGGATCCCGAGCCCGAGCGAGCATCCACGGCCGGGGGGCTGCGTCGCGAACCAGCCGAGGCGTCTAGCCGTGTGGGGGCGCCCAGGGGACTCCAACCTCGAAGAGGAAAAAGAACACGGCAGTCGATGGTTCGTCTTCGCTCGCCGGCTAAAGGCGTTTTCCTCTGCCCGCCGGCTTAGGTTTTTTGCAACATTTTCTGGAAAGGCCCCCGAAGTCGGAAAGCGCAGAGCTGGGCACCTCAAAGCCAAAGTCTCCCCAAAAAAACTTTTTCCAAAGTTGGCTTTGCAGCGGCGGCTCGAGTACCCGGGCAGGGAGAGGTGCAAACTCCCGCCCGGGCCGGGTGGGGGGGGCCGGAGCGTGTGCGCCCTGGCGCGGGGCCCGGGCGGCGGGCACGGCTGCTCCGCGCGCGCGTCGTGCCCGCTGCGCGCTGGACCGGGCCCGGCAGACAGGTGGACGCGGCGCGAGTCGGTCGGTTCGTCTGCCCGCCCGCTCGCCGCTCTGGGCGTCCTCTACGGGCTGCGAGTTGCGGCTGCTCCGGCTTTCTCTTTGCAACGAGGCTGGAGGGTGGGCTTTTTTCCCCCTTTTTGCGCGTGTGTGTCTGTGTGTGCGCGCAAAATATCCCTATCTCGGGAATGAAAGATGGGCGCTGGCGGCCAGAGGGGAGCCCTCAGGGAGGCAGCGGGGGAGGCTGCGGGCGCACGGGGAGGCAGGCGGGCTGCTCCCAGCGGCAGGAGGAGAAGTTGCCACCCTTTCAGCTGTTCCGGCCTTTATAAAGGAGAAGGGAGAGTGCGAGAGGTGGGTGGAGACAGCCTTTCCTCTTCTGGCCGAGAGTCAGTACCGGGAGGGGGGAAGGGGGGCGGGAGCTCCTGGAGGGCCTGAGGCGAGGATGGGGTGCCTAGGGGTTTCCAAAAGCCCAGCAGCCCCTCCGCCCAGAAATCTGGTCCCTGGGAAGGTAGAGCTAGGAGCAACCAAACGCTGGGCCTCTCAGCACAGTGGCTGTGGCCTGGTTTCTAGCCCACGTGGTTGGGGGCAGGGGTGTCTCCAAGGCCGCTGGCTTGCAGAAGTGCAAGCCCGCACCTCCAGGACCAGACATTTGCACCGTAGCACAGGCATGGTGGTGAAGGACTCAGGCTCTGCAGATCCTGCCCTGGTGCTGAGTAGCTGGGTCACCTTGGGCAAGTCACTTCCTTTCTGTGCTCCTCCATCTTGCCTCAAAGTGGGATAGGGTTATCGTGAGGACTTAATGGCAGAAAGGGCCAAAAGCAGCCAGCCCCCAAAAAGCCACAAGGTGATCACACAAACCCTGCAGCCAGTACCATTCAGCTGAAAGCTGGGTGCACGTCTCCTCCTCCTAGCTGGTTGCCTGGCACACAACAGGCGTTGCTGGCATTGGTTGAATTTGAATTTGTTGAACTGCAGTCGCACAAACCTCCACAGCCCTGCAGCATCCTTGCAGGGCCGCCATCACGATCCTCCAGTCGCCCTGATGTTTACTACCTCTCTCAGCCCAGAGCTTGGAGACCCAGGGCCCCCCACCCATGCCAGCATTCACACAGTTAACGCCTTCCGCCCCCCAGCTCCGGGAGCTGCTACGTCCCTTCCTTCAGCAGTCATATGCTGACAGTCACAGAGTCACACGCTCGCACGCTGAGCCCAGCACCCACCACGAGACCCACGCGCCGCATCGCCCGGCTCCTGGCTTTAGGACACCTTTATCTGGTCCCGTTGTGCTGTCTGTGTCATCTGCCCTTTGTACCCAAACATCCCTACGGGGTGGCAGCCTGCTCCTCACGTGTGCACACACCCTTAGTCACTGAGACAGGCACACTCACCGTCTCTTCATGAATTGTCTTCTTGGCCCTGAGCGGGGGCAGCAGGGAGGGCGGATGTCCCAGGAGGGCCTCTCTACAAACAGCCACACGCACCCGCCCTCTGCCCATTACTGCCTACGCAGCATGGCACGGTGGCCAAGAGGCGGGCCAGGGGCAGGTCACCTTGGTTCAAATACTGCAACGGCCACTTGCTGGCCAACTTCTCAGTCCCTCGACTTCCTTCCCTGTACACTGGAGAGACAACTGTAATTGGAGGGAGGGAGGGATTTCCAAGAGGCATGGGAAATTTTTAGGGGTGGTGGAAATGTTTGTCATCTTTGCTGGTGATGATGAGTTCACAAGTATTCACACATATCTAGACTGATAAGTGCTTTATTGTAGCTCAATACTGTTGTCGAAAGATTTCTATCTACTTCATAGCGTGGTCTGGAGGCTCAGATGAGGTAATCCGTGTGGAAGCACAGAGCAGAATGCCTGGGACACGGAGTACATCATTCCTTCGACAAAGCTTTTGCATGTTCCCTCAGACACCGGAACAGACACTGTTCCAGGCACTGGGGAGACGGCATGATGCCGATACTGCCCTGGAGGAGCCCCCATGCTGAAGGACAGGCAGACGCATAAACAGATAAATCAGGAGACAGGGTGACAAGGGAGATGGGTGGGGGAGATAGGAAGATAATCCTCAAACACAAGACCTGAAGTCTAGAGACTTAGAGATAAAAGCCTGCTCCGCTGGACAGCTAGGTGTTCTTGACTTTGATCTTCTGTATCCTTATTTATAATTGACAATAGCCACCACTATTATTATTGAGGTGCCTTACGGTTGGTGGTGTTCTTCCTACTCTGCACGTGGTTTCTCAATGCTCCAATGAGATATGTTTACTCTTATGAATGGAGACATCGAAGCACAGAGAGGTGAAGCAACTTGTTCAAGGTCACATAGCCACAGAGTTCAGGGTCACATAGTGGTGGAGTCAGGACTGGAACCCAAGTAGTCCAGCTGCAGAGCCCACACACTTGCCTCAGCCACCATGCTGTGCTGTGTCCTGGCGGCGATGACGATGACCGCAACGACACTTCCTACACAGGGCTTCGGTGAGCATCAAACACACGAATACCTGCAAAGCACTTTGCCAGCTGAGGGTGCTGGACCAATGTGAGCTCTGACTCACATACAAAGTGCTGTAGGAGCACAACGAGGGAGCACACAGCTCGGCCTCAGGGGGGATGTGATGGGGCAGGGCTCCTGGGAGCGGCAGCATCGGGCACCTGCGGTTTGCTGTGTCAAGCACTGGGAAAAGGAAAGGGGAAGGAGAGCCACTCCTGGCACTCTGGGACCGCCCGGCTCTTGAGTGAGGCAGACGTAAATTGAGATGGCTTTGTGCACTGGTTAGAAGCGGCAGGACTGGGACAGCAGAGGCAGCAGGGACCCCATGGCCCCTGGGCCTGAATGCCGTGCTGAGCAGAACCCCTTTCCTGTAGCACCTCTCCTTGCAGACACCACGCCCATGTTGAGGGTGGGGGAAGAACACCCCCTCCTTTTCCTCCTGTCAGGCTCGTCTTAGCCGACACCTCCTCCAGGAAGAGCCCCCAGACTCGGTGCTCGCTCTGGGTCCCCAGAGCACGTCCCCCACAGTATTGTCATTGTCCGTATACGGGTCTAGCACTAGACTCCAGCTATGGGTCTGCACCCATTCCAGCTCCTACCGTACAATAGTTGCTCAATAAATGTCTGCTGAAGGAACGAATGAATGAGTAAACATCTTGCCTGTTTCTTCCTGGCCTGTTGGTTCCACCCGCCTGAAGGGTGGAACGAGTTGCGGGGGGGGGGGGGGAGCTTGTAACATGAGCTCTAAACTGAGATGCACAGGATATCTGAGGGGCACTGCCCTCACAGACCCCGGGATGACCCCAACCCATCTGTGGCACTGGGGCTGCTGAGGAACCAGGCTTTCCAGGAGGGCTGGGAGCAGGTTTTGCAGGGTGGGGGGCCACACTCCCATAACTCTCACACCTTCCACCCCCAGGAGGTCTGAGCCACGTGGAAAGCCGAGGGGCCACAGCCCTCAGCTAGGTGCTGGAGGGGGCCTGCCCCAGGCTGGGGGCTTTTGGACTGCGTTTAGAGCAATCTAAGCTCTCGTCCGTTTAAAGCATCTCACACCATGGGATTGGGGGCTAGGGGCTGAGGAAAGAGCTGGCTTCAATCCCGCGGGCAGACTTGTGCCCTCAAGTCCAGAAGGGGGGGAATGATGTGTCCTGGGCATCGCCGCTCTGCTGCGGGAGCCCTGGGAACACCCATGCCGGGCAAGTTTGCTTTTCCCAGCTTGATGGAAGAGGAACTGGACCTCCAAACAGGGAACAGTCCAAGGCCAGGCCACAGATGGCCTGAGACCCCAGCCCGGGCTGTATGATGGCAAAGTGCATCCTCTGCGCCCACGCCCTGTAGCTGCCATCAGCTCCCCCAGCCCCCTCACTGGCCGGTCCCCTGACTCCCCATCAGCAAGGCCTTTGCCCTTGCTTCACCCTCACGGTCACCCAGGGAGAGAGGTATTACATCACATGTGCTCATTTTACAGATGAGGAAACTGAGGCTCAGAGAGGGCAAGGGACAAGGCTTCCCAGCAAAGACTGCCTGGGTTCAAAGCCCCCGCTCTGCCATTTACTAGCCTGTGACCTTGAACAAGTCACTCGACCTTTCTGAGCCTCAGTTTCCTCATCTGTAAAACGTGGATGACTATAGTAATTACCTTACGGAGTGAAATGAGTTACAACACATCCTGCGTGGAAAGCAGGAGTGGGTGCTCCAAGCACGTTGTCGGTTATTCCTGTGATCATTATTATCACTCCAAGCTGCACGCGTATGTGCACGCACACACCCACCTGTGAGTTCCAGGGGCAGGGCTAGGAGTGGAGTGCACAGCTGGGAAGGCCACACGCCTGTCACCTTGGGGCGGGGGGCGGGGGTGGTGTCCTCACCTAGTGCCCCACCACTTCTGTTAGAGACCCCCCACCCTGGCGAGGCCCTGGCCACTGTGGCCGTGAGTAACAAGGAGGCAGAAGAGACCCCAGGAAGGCAGATAGACAGACCCCCCGCCCCCAGGCCTAGGGAAGCCTGGAGGAGCCCACCGCACTGCCTCTGCGGCCTTGGGCCTTGTGTCCTGTATACAAAGGCAAGGGAAGCGTCGTGTTTGTTTTCCCGGGGCCAAGGCAATACATTTTTAGCTCCTTCAGTCTCCAGACAAGGAAGAGGATGTTTGGACGGGCAGCTCTGATCTACCTGTCCTGGAAGCTGGCTGGAAGTGGAGCGAAGCGCCCCAGGGTGAGGGGAGCTGGGCCAGACAGGCTGGGAGATGACCTACCTGGGACCTGGTTGGCTCTCCCTTAGAGAAGGGCCATTCTCACTGCACCTTTTGGTGCTCACCTGCTGGGCCTGGAGCACCCTGCTAATTGTGACAAGCTCACTTCCAGAGCATTCGCCCTGGGCCAGGCCCTGGGCCAAGAGTTTTACCAGAACTGACAGCATGGAGAGAAGTACAGCAATTATTACCATTTTAGCAGCAAAGGAACAAGGCTGGTTGTGTCCTTACCTGCTTCCTGGAGGGCTGGTGCTCTTGTCATCGTGTTCATACCTGGGGGAGGGGGCACTAAGGCTCAGAGAGGGATACTAGCTTGCCCAGCGTCACCCAGCAAGGAAGTCACAGTGTCAGAATTTGAATCCAGGACCGTTACGCCCAAACCCGCACTTTTGCCATCTCCCTGTTCCATGACGCCTCCCTGTGTGGCCTGGATCAGAGCCGCCGAGCTTTTCATGTCACTTTGCACGCAGAAAAGTAAACAAATTTCGCAAGCTGGATGAAGGAGGCTGTGCAGGACTGGACGCCGTGGCCCCCGGAACCCACCCACCACCCCAGGGCTGGGAAGCTGCCTGCAGGATCTGGCTTAGCCAGCCCTCTCCGAAGCAGGGTGTCCTGGCTGCCGGCTGCTGAAGATTTGACTAGGAATTCTGGAAGGGATGGGGACAGGCAGGTAACAGGCAGCCCGCCTTGGTGGGGGTCCAGCTAGGACAGCACACACACCCTTACCAGCTTTCCAGAGGAATATATTTGGAACTGCAGGAAACGTAAAGGGCCTGTGCAAAGAGTGGGAACCCAGCCACAGTGTAAAAGTCACACGTTTTTCATCAATGTTTATAAGAGCAAATGCTTACATGGCACTCACTTTCTTGGCAGCTCGCTCCAAGCCCTTCAGGTGTATTCACTCAGTTAAGCCTCAAGAGAGGAGCCGTGATCACTCCCATTTTACAGATGGGGAAACCAAGGCCTGGGGCAGCTCTGCAAGATCAGGGATGAGTGGGGGCAGAGCTGGGATTTGAGCCTCGGCCGCTGGTGCCAACACCACTCTCTGGATATCTGCGCCCATCTGCCAGCCAGGCGAAGAGGAAAACACCCAAGTGCCCAGTTCACCTGAGCCCTGCCCTCACTCACCCACAGAGTCTGGCCTAGCTCCACCCCTCTCTGGGGCGGGCCCTCTGGTGGGCATTGGTCTGGACCCCTTGCTGAAGGAGCCTCATGAATGATGCCCCACCGTACCGGGCGGGGGACTCTAGAGGCTGCTAGAAAGGGAATGCACGTGGGAGGTAGGCATGGTCCTGTCCTGGCCCTCCTCTCTCCCTTGCCTCAGCTTACCACCCGCATCCCCATCTCCCACCACTGCCATCAGGAAGCTCCCCTTTGGGAGGAGGTCTGACACGGCTTCGATGTTCAAGACCTTGACCACGCAGTACAAGCTGCGGGCGTTCCCAAGGGACGTCTGAGGTGCAGAGACATCATGTGACTTGCCCAAAGTCACGCAGTGAGTCAAGGACAGAAATGGGTGACAGTCTGCCAACTCCAGGGACCCCTGGCCCTCCTCTGCAGTGGAGAGGGCCCCCAGGGCGGTGATTCTGGAAGGGTGTTCCATGGGAGAGGGCCGGAAGCACATGGGTGGGAGGAAAAGGGTTGGGTGCGGTTGGGGTTCACAAGGAATAGCCGATGGCTTATTTTTACCCCAAATCCCACCTTTACTCGTGGTGTCCCCTTCATGCTCCTCTCCATCCCAGGTCTCACCCACTTCCTCACCCAGCCTGCCTGCCCGCTGGGAGCTTTTCCTGGGGGTGAGTTCTCTTCCCTTCCCCTAGCACATTGTCCCTTCCCACCACTGCCTGGAGGTCACTTGAGGCTATTGCCACGTCCTTAGGTGTGTCTTAGGTCCTCACCAGGGCGAGTTTCTTGAGGGCAGGGACTGTGAGCGGGGTGCGGGGTGGGGGGGTGCTGGGTGCGGGAGGGAAGGGTTTGGATTGATGGACAAGGACCCTGCTGGGTAAGCCCCACAGGCCCGTCTTTGAGACCCTGCAGGTGCCAGTTACTGGCTGTGTGTAATGGGCAGGGCATTGACCTCTCTGAGCCTCAGTTTCTTCGTCTGCCTGGCAGGGCTCCTCTGAGGATGGAACGGGAGAAACGTTGTGAAGGCGCCAGCCCAGTGCCCGGCACTGCGCACTTGCTCAACACGTTGTGTAGTTAGTACCTTTTCACCGTGGTCTAGACCTCCACCGTTGCTCCTCCCATGAGGCCCAGCAGCCGCATCCCCAGGGGGCTTGTTAGAAATACACAGTGCCAGGCCTACCCTATACCTGCAGAGTCAGAATCTGAATTTTAAGAAGAGCCCTTGTGCACAGTTTGAGGAGCACTGACTTAAAGCATGGGTCCCAAATGGCCCAACATCGTGATTTCACTGCTCAACCCCTGAACCACCTGACAATCCAGGGAGAGCAAAGTATATTATCCCCATTCTACAGACAAGAAAACTGAGTCCCAGAGAGATCACACAACTTCCCTGATTCACATGATCAGGAGGTGGCCAAGCCAGACGTAAACCAGTGCCATGGGCTTCAGACCTACACCTGCTGGGGTAGCCGTCCTGGGCCAGTCCAGTGCTGGGCTTGGAGGAGAACAGTCTAGGACCTCAATGTGCTTATCTGCCTAATGGGGTCCCAACACAACCTGGCTGTGGGGAGTATGTGCAGACGTGCCCCGTGTGGTGCCCCGGAGTTGTCCTCACAGGGAATTGGGTGTTGCATTACCAGCTCACCTCTCTGGAGCCCCCTGCCCTTGAGGGGCTTACAGGCTGAGGCAGGCAGGTGGAAGACAGAAAGACCGAGACAACTGTACAAACACCCTCAGGTAGTGCTTATGTAAGTCAACAAGCAAACAGAGGGCAGCCCGGCGGGAGTGACTAATCGTCTTAATAGTAACCACCACGGCAGCAGGCATAACGCTCCCTGGACACCAGGCACATCCCTGCTGAAGCCACGGAGTTGTCATCAATGGACCCAGTGGCAACTTGAGGCCCAGGGAAGCTGGGCCACCTTCCTCCTTCCTCTCCTCCTCTCCCACCACTTCTTCGGGGCTCTGACGGGATCCCTTTCATTCTTCCTTGGGTGTGAACTGTGCCAGCCTCCACCACATCCCAGCTGTGTGACCCTTCGCTAGTTCCTGCCCTCCGGGCCATAGATGAGGATGATTCTGGAACCTTCCACATTTGGTCACGAGGTTAATCCAGCGACCAAATGTAGGTGCTTAGCACAGAGAGAGCACTGGGTAAACGGGAGCTGTGGTTGTGATTCCCCTCACTTGGACAAGGCGGTCCCCACAGGTTGCCCCAGAGGGAAGCACCAGGGGGATGACCATACCCTTATTACAG